GTGGATTGCCTGAGCCCGCGGGTTCGAGACCCGCCTGGGCAGCGAGACCTCATCTCTACAAATCAAAAAAATCAGCCAGGTGTGGTAGCGCATGCCTGTAATTCCGGCTACTTGGAAGGCTGAGGCGGAAGGATCTCCGGAGCCCAGCAGGTCAAGGCTGCGGTGGCCGGGAGCGGTCACTGCAATCCAGTCTGGGCGACAGAGAGAGACTCCAACTCAAAAAAAAAAACCAAAAACAAAACATTGGCTGGGCGCTTTTTCAGATACTGAGAATCCGAGGGAAATATGACAGCAGCATCCTACCCTTAAGAAACCTACATTCTACACAGGGAAGTAGGGGACACACAAGTAAGTAGACAGGTGCTAAGCTGACGATAAGAATGGTGATGGCTCAGGGAGAAACAGTAGATAAAAAGGATCATTGGATTAAGGGGTAAGAGATGAAATTAAATGTTTAAAACTGGGACTTTAAAGGTATTATTCATAGAAGGTGGAAGGGGAACTTCCAGGTATTCTCTGTGTCAGTGGTTCTCAAGCAGGGACAGTTTTGCCCCTTGGGACACAAGGCAATGTCTAGAGACATTATTGTCAAGACTGGAGCCTGGCCTGGTGGCTCATGCCTATAATCCCAACACTTTGGGAGGTTCAGGCGAGAAGACCACTTGAACCCAGGAGTTCGAGACCAGCCTGGGCAACATAGCAAGACCTCATCTCTACAAAAGATGCTGCCAAGCATCCCACAGTGTACTGGACAGCCTCTCCCTTCCCCTAACAAAGAATTGCACAGCCCGAGATGTCAAGAGGGCCAGAGTGGAGGGAACCTGTCTGTGTCCGACCATCCCATACACCCAAATTCATTCTTTTGACTGATCTCCAGGCACTGAGGGTAAAGGAATATAATAAAAATCTAACCTAAAATTAAATACACATAAAATTGTAAGACTTTAGCCTTGTTAACCAACATAAGGATAGCTAAGAGCCAGTTATAAAGCAAGCTCACCATGTGTTAGACACTGTTCCAAGTCCTTGACATATTACCTCACTCAGCCCTCATCATTACCTCTCTTTGACAGATGAGGAAGCTGAGGCACAGAGAGCTAGCTGCCCAAGTCAAACTGCATCTGGCACCTGTGCTTCAAGGCCAGGCAGCCTGGCTCAATGCCCAAGCTTTGAGCCACCAGACCCATAGTCCAAGGCAGGACATGTCCCCTTGGCTTGAACCATCCCCTGAGGTGAAACCCTGACCTTTCTGTGCAGTGCACCCCAGTATCTGTTCCTGTGGGTGCTGGGATACCCTCTACCTTCGGCAGAGACCCACCTTCCTTATCTCTCACCTACTGACTCTATCTCTGCTTTCTAGAGGAATTCAGAACGCTGCTTCTGGGATTGTCTTCAGAATCCTTTAAAACACATCCCACATACTCTAAGACTGTTCATGTGATCTGATGTGTGAGCCCCGCCCACCAGCCCTGCCCTCTGCCCAGGTGTGCCTGAGCCTCGGAGTGACCTGAGGCTGGTGGTCGGCTCCGGGGCTCTCACCCGGGGTCCTCGGAGACAACCACATTCCAAACCTAAGCCCCTCACTCCACCACCAGGGCAGATGCTGCAGCAAACCATGCAGAACCTTTTCAGGTTTTGTCTAGGGCTGGGGCTGGGGCCAGGGTAGAGGTGGCATTAGACACAGAGGTGGGACCTAAACCCCCCAAATGTAAAAGACAGAGCCCTGTGTTAATGGCAAAGCCCAGGCAGGCAGGAGCAGGGACAAAACTCAGAACTCTGATGGCCACACACCACCCATGAGCCCCACACATGAGGTCTCGTCTGGGTGACAGCCATAGCACATGTGGCACTACCAGAAAGAAAGGGTTCTTGAGCCTCCATCCTACACTGAGACACTGAACAACCCAGCACCAAGGCAGCCAGTGTGGTATGGGCCACAGAGAAGATATGCCTCCTGTTCACCTTCAAGAAAAACCACCAGAATCCCAGCTACTCTGGAGGCTGAAGCAGGAAGATTGCCTGAGTAGGAAGAAGGCAGAGGCTGTAGTGAGCCATGATCACATCACTGTGCTCCGGCCTGGGCCACAGAGCAAGACCCCGTCTCTAAGACAAACAAATAAATAAAAATAAAGTGGTAAGACCCAAACCTGGGTATCCTGAGGCCCAATTCCACCTTCTTAACCCCCCAGCAGCCCACCACTCTGACCATAGGTTCCTTCTCTTTCACATCATCCAGATCTGAGTTTTGAAGAATCAGTGCCATTGCCCTCTTTCCCTCTGAAACAACAGGGAGGGACCTCTCCTTGCTTAGCCAGCTTTTTGTTGCTTCAAGGGGATTATGAAGAGTGGGAGGAGGCTGAGAGCTTGGTAAATTTCCATAGCACACCTCAGTGCCCCTTGCACCACTGTGTTGGCGGCGGCCTGGGAAGCCGTGTGCAGGAGGGAGGTCAGGCCACCCAGGGGCATAGGACACCAGGCTGCTGTACAGATCGTGGCAGAGAAGGCTGCATCTCACTCAGGCTCCATTCCAAGGGCACTCGTCCCATCATTCCTCTCATTCTTGACTGCTTGGGCTTAAAACCTGTGTTCCCGGAGGGAAAGGCAGAGGCTGGCCTCCCCTCGGCCTCCTGCATTCCTCAGATGTTGGCCACTCATGGAGTTCTTATGGAGTCAACTTATAGCCTGTTGCCAGCATTGCACTGAGCTCCCCAGGAGCTCCCCAGGACGGCACAAAGTGTCTTCTGGGTTCCTGTAAATATGCTCCGGCCCCTCCCTGCCATTCCTGTCATGCGTTTAAAGGCTCTGGTCCAAACAGTGTTTGGTTACTCAAAACCCACCCATTGGGAGACAGGGGTGGGCAATGCCTAAAAGCTCTCTGGGACCCATCAGACACAATTCTCTGAAGAAATCACAGACTCCAGACTTTAATCAAATTGTTTAACAAGTACAAGATTTCACATCGAGTTACTCCCAGCACCTCCAGGACGTCATGAACAACTAATCCCTGTCACATGGGAGGTTGACCCGACCCCTGTTGACCCCTGTGTTCATTAAATCAGGACGTCCAGGGAAGAGTAAGCCATTGGCATTTGCTTCAAGATTACTGGGGCGTTTCATGGATGGCAAAATTTGAGAGCCACTGAGCTCCTTGATACTTGTTTATTAAGCACCTGTTGTGGACACAGCCACCAAGAACCCCATCTCCAGAGAAGTTACAGGACCTGGCAGTGAAGAAGGAAGCTATGGAATGTCAAATCTGGAAGGCCATTGCCAGGGCAACTCCTCGTGTCACAGAGGAGGACACATAGCTCAGAATGAGGATGTGGCATGCCCATGATCACACAGTGAGCTACAGAGCCCCTCCCAGGCCAACACCCCTGTCTACCCTAATGGAAGAAAGGCTGCCCTAACCCCCACCCCACACTGCGAGGCTCGACAACCCAGTACCGAGAGGATTGGTGTGGTGTGGGTCACAGGGAAAAGATGCCTCCTGTTCATCCTCAAAATAAGCCATCAGAAAGTGGTAGGCAGCAGGCACCTGTGGTCCCAGCTACTTGGGAGGCTGAGGCAGAAGGATTGCTTGAGCACAGGAGGTTGAGGCTGCAGTGAATCATGATCGCACCACAACACTCCAGCCTGGGTGACAGAACAAGACCCTGTTTCTAAAATAAATAACAATTAAAATTAACTGTTAGGATCTGAACCCAATTATTCATTCTTTCTCCTTTTTCTTTTTTTTTTTCTCCCTGTCAAAGGACTGGAAAAGTAGGAATAATTCAGTCTGGGCTGAGAAAGACTATCTGATATCACTGCCACAATTCTAACTTCAGCAGGTCACCGTCAAGCTCAGGGACCTGTGGGTGGTGGACCACCCTCCAGATGTGCTGCACATTACCTTGCACAGCACTGAGCACTTCTTGAGAGCAGGGGTAATCCCCACTCCTCCTCTGCAGGGGCCCATAGTCCCCAGGGGGGCACTGAATGAACGGTAGCCACCGCAGAGGACATGTCATCAGCAGCTTGTAGGAGACACAGTGAGGGTCATCATGACCTTACACCAGGGCTCACGCCCAAAGCAGAGGTGTCCAACGTTTTGGCTTTCCTGGGCCGCACCAAGTAAAGAGGAATTGTCTTGGGATGCACATAAATTATATAATATAGTCAGTGTATATACATACTAAGACTTCTTTTTATTTTTTATATTTTTTATTATAAGTTTAGAAAAATGATAACAATATAAAACTAGTGGAAAATTTGACATCGTTTTTGTGAAACTATCAATATCTGTTTCCATGGAAGTGATCACAATTCTTGGTGAGTTCCCAAAGTGCTTGTGAGAAATGTTTGTTCAAGTTTTGCTCTTCGTGAGCTTCATGATTGAAAACAGCTGCTCACAAATGTATGTTCTGCCAAAAAGCGATGCCATGAATGAGGCGTGATTGTGAACTTCAAAAATGGAACAACACACCGGGCCACGAAGAAAATAAACGCTAAAAAACACACGATGTTAAAAGATTTTGTGGGGCCTCATGACTAGCTGTGCTGGGCCGTGCGCTAGACACGCCTACCCTAAAGCCACCAGCCTACTCCTGGTCACCAACAGCCTGGGTGACATTCGGTCAAATCACCACCAAAATGGCCTGGAATGTTTCCAGTATTCTAGACTATTCCTATGGATTTCAGATGATCTAGAAAAAATCCCCAGACTCCTGAAGCCCCTGAGGGCAGTCTAGGGAGCAGCAGCACCCGGGTGGCCCCAAGACTTCTGCCCTCAAAGCAAAGCAGGTATTCCCCAGAAGCACCTGCCCAGCCCCGGGCCGGTGGCTCTGCACTAGGGAGCCTCGGATGACAGCTCGGTGCTGGGGAGAGGAGAGGTGCCTTCGGGCTCAGGCGGCCCGTGTCTCTCGCCAGCCGGAGTGCACAGCTGCCCTCCAGTCCCACCCTATCACCTGCCCCAGGAATGGTTCACATCTGGCTCTGAGGCGCGGTCTTCACAGGACCCGTATTCTGTGACTTTGCAGCTGTTACAGGCCATCCCCGTCGGGGTTGGCCAGGTGTATGGCTGTGACAACCCATGGGCCGGCGGCGTGTTCCTGGTGGCCCTGTTCATCTCCTCGCCACTCATCTGCTTGCACGCAGCCATTGGCTCCATCGTGGGGATGCTGGCAGGTAGGACGGCGCCCCCTGCAGGCAGGTCTCCATCACAGCAACTGTTCCAGACAGACTCCCGCCACTGGAGTCTTAACACACTTCAAGGGCAGGGATTTCTTTTACCCTTTCTTGAGTCCCCAAAAAGAGCAGATCACAGTGGCAGAGCACATGGAGAGATGCAAGGGGCCTGAAGACCAAGCAGCCTAACTGGGGCCCTAGAGCAGCGGGTGAAGGAGGGACACGGGGTGGGGCGGGAGGGGGGTCACAGGGTAGAGCGGGAGGGTAGAGGAGGGGCACAGGGTGGGGAGGGGACACCGGGTGGGGCAGCAGCAGGAACCAAGCCCAAGCTGGGGTATAAATCAGCAGTCCCCAACCTTTTGGCATCAGGATCCAGTTTTTGTGGAAGACAATTTTTCCACGGTGGCAGGGGGTGTGCAGTCAGACCTCTCTGCTCGTGTTCATCTGTTTGCAGCCGCTCCCCAGCGCTAGCATCACTGCCTCAACTCCACTTCAGATCACCAGCCATTCGATCTTCTTAAGGAGCCACAACCTAGATCTCTCGCATGCGCAGTTCACAGTAGGGTCCCTGTCTCAACTCCACTTCAGATCACCAGCCATTCGATCTTCTTAAGGAGCCACAACCTAGATCTCTCGCATGTGCAGTTCACAGTAGGGTCCCTGTTGCTATGAGAATCTAATGCTGCACTGATCTGACAGAACATGGAGCTCAGGCGGTCATGCCAGCACTGGGGAGCAGCTGTAAATACTGATGAAGCTACACTGGCTCACCCACCTTTCACCTCCTGCTGTGTGGCCTGGTTCCTAACAGGCCACAGACCAGTACCAGTCTGTGGCCCAGGGGCTAGGGATCCCTGGTGTAAACAACCCAGCACTTAATATTTGCAGCAAACTAAAAGGCATAGTTTACTCAAATACTGGACTGCCATTGGACAAATGTGTTTTCCTATGTCTACATATGTATGCATGTATGGACATGCATTTACATACATACTTGTTTTTTTCTGACAGTGGAGTCAGAAATTGGGGTATGGGTAATGAGAGTAGGAGTCTGGTTTTGACTTTCTCCCATATTTTTCAAAGACTTCTTGGAAGCAGAACTTTTAAAACAATTTTTTTTTAATTTGGAAATTATTTTAAATCATCATAAAATTACAGAAATAAAAGTAATTTAAGAGGCATTTATCAATGCTTTACTTAGACTTATCTGTTCCTTACACCTTAACCATCTTACTGTATCATTTATTCATTCTCTTTTCTACATAGAGCTATGTGTAGACAAACAAGGTTTTTGAAAAAAAAAAAACGTTTTTAATTTTATATCTTTCTTGCTGAAACTGCAGTTGCTCTGGCCAGAGAAGCAGGGTTGTGATTTCACCTCCAGGTCTCCTCTCACCTGGGAGGAGATAATTGTGCCTCCCAGTAAGAACTGGAGTGTTGAAACACAGTTTGGAAACTACTGCTCACTCCTCACCATCGGTTCCTAAGTAGACACCTTTGTAGAGGCTCCTTCGATGGGCAGATTCAGGGTGTGGGGTGGGCAACAGGGTACAGTACACTGAGAGCAGGCACCAGCCAGATACACCACACCTTGTCTCACAGCGCTGACAGTGGCCACGCCCTTCGAGACCATCTACTCGGGCCTCTGGAGTTACAACTGTGTCCTCTCCTGTATCGCCATCGGAGGCATGTTCTACGCCCTCACCTGGCAGACCCACCTGCTGGCTGTCGTCTGTGGTAAGTGTTTTGGGAAAGTGTCGACCACATCACTCTGGTTATTTCTTCCCCCCTGGGTTATGGGAAACCTGTGGTGACCACTAATCAGTACTGAGTAGAGTGACAGGCCAGTGGTTGGATGTTAACGCCAACACTTCCTTTAATAGCTGGGGACACGATCACCTTGTGCTGTCGATGTGTAAGGTGTTGTAAAGTGTACAACAAAATCACAAACACGATTCCTGGTATGCTAAGGACAGTGCTTCTGCTCTCTCTGTCTCTTCATCCAACAACCCATTACAGAGCACCACCAGGTGCCAGGACCAGGCTAGGCAGGGAAGATACTGGTGACCACATCCTCATGAAGTCACAGGCTAGCAGAGAAGTAATCACACAAATCATTACTAAGACTGTGATGTCCACAAAGATGACTGGAAAGATCCAGGGAGGTCACATGCTGGGAGCCTGGAGATTATGACATGGTGTCTCAGAAGCTCGATTTCCACCAAACAAGTAAACAACATGCTTTCCCGAGGGAAGCCGGCCACGGTCCTTGGTCTACAACTGCACGCGGCTCCAGGCCCTGCATTACAGAAATACACAGACCCACTAATCCTCTCAAGAACGCTGCCAGGCATCACGTTTTACAGATGAAGAAATGAGACATATAGGGCTAATTCACTTTCCCCAGGGCTTAGCTATTCATGCACAAAGGGAGGGTCAGTCCCAGCCCCTTCTCCCCACCATCTTCCTCTCCTGCATTGTTCTCTAGAAATGGAGGTCAGGACTTTAATAAGTGAAGTTAGGCTCAAGGACAGGGCAGAGAAACATTAGGACCAGACTTTTTTTGTTTTTTACCACTTACACATGGGGTCCGTGAATGACTTGCATGTCCCTGTAGCCCCTTAGCAGCCAACAAGAGGCTGGGCGTGGAGACAATTGGCCCAGGACATATTTGTCAGTTAAAATGCCAGATGTTTTGAGATTCAGACTGTAACTGCCTTTGGCCTTCAGAGAAGTGGCAGGTTCCAGTGGATGGAATCACCTGGGAAGGCTTCACGGGTAGGCTGGTGTTTCTCTCAACATTCCTGGCAGGATTCGAGGTGGCAGAGAGAGAAAAGGTGTGCTGGACAGAAAGGAAAACAGGGCAGGGCAGGAGCTTGTTCAACGGTGTGGATGAGATTTCCTGACTGCTCTTGGGGCCCCACTCCCGTGGGGGAAACCCAGAAGCCTGTCTCCTGAGAACTGGCTCAGGGACTCAGTAAGTTTCAGCGCAAATGAGACTTGGTGAGCATGAAACAGCCACTCAGAACATTGGACGGGAAGGATCTTAGCAGGAACCCATAGAGTCTGACCACTCTCACAGGCAAGCACATCAGGGTCACCACAGGCTTCCCACAACCCAGTCTGACCACTCTCACAGGCAAACACATCAGCGGTCAGGACCTGGTAAAGACGCTGAGGCTGTGGGAGGGAGGCTGTGGGAGGGAGGCAGGACCTTGCCCTCAGTCTGGGCTTCTCGCTCTGCCACAGCAGGGGCTTTGGGGCAGGGACAGGCTCTGGGAAGCTGACACTGTGGTCCTTGTTTTTCCACAGCCCTGTTCTGTGCATACATGGGAGCAGCCATCTCCAACATCATGGCAGTGGTGAGTTTGGGTTCGCCTGAACCGTATCCTGAAGTGTTCTGCCCCAGCCAGAGCTTCTGAACTGTAGTGTCTAATGGAAGGATCTCTAGTGGGCCATGGTAGCCAGTACTCAGTGCCTCTGTCAAGGCTTAACTAGGGTTTGTTCAGAGAAGAACTGGAAATTGCATGCGCATGCCTCTAAGGTGTGTGTGTGTGTGTTTTGAAAGAAAGAGATCAATATGTAAATAACAGCAGAAAATACAGAGCCACGTGGCTAGATATGGGAGACCCTCCCCAGGCCCCAATTTTCAGCTCCATCATCGAGAGATTCTGGTTGTGCCCAAAGGTGCCAACACCTCAAATTCCTTGACCAACTACTTGGACCTTCTGAATCCAGGAACACCAGTACCTTTGTGAGGGAAATCCCTATCCCCAATCCCTGCCACATTCTCCTCCCCCAGATCCCCAGCCCAACCAGGAGCCTGGGAACACTTCAGACCCCCATGCATTTGCTTCCAGGTTGGCGTGCCACCAGGCACCTGGGCCTTCTGCCTGACCACCCTCATCTTCCTACTCCTGACGACCAACAATCCCGCCATCTACAAGCTCCCACTCAGCAAAATCACCTACCCAGAGGCCAACCGCGTCTACTACCTGACCCTGAAAAGCACTGAGGAGGAGAAGTCCCCCAGCGGTGACTAGTAGCCAAGTTCCCCAGAAACGCTCTTTGCCTGGAAGTGGTCCTGCTCCCTCTGCTCTGGGCCATCAGCTGCCGCGCTTATCTTCCTTCCTGCCCTTGCACCTGTGCAGAGCTAAGCACACCTGTTGCACCCTTCCCTGAAGCTGATTTCCTCCCTGCCTACCTCTCCAGAACTCTGCATTGGGGACATTAAAGGAAATTGGTAACACTGATGCCAGAGTTGGAAGTAAGGAGTGTTGTTTTCAGGGTTGCTGACTTAAAACAAAAGCAGTAGTTAGTCTTTGAGGAAGATAATTAAAAGACAATCTTCTAGGCATGTTGAGCTAAATAATAGATGCGGTAAAACTGAACTCGTTGAGTGGTTCTTAGGCAGATACAGCATGGATGTAAGTCGGGGACCACATGCTAGGAAGAGAAAGTGCCCAAATGACCCAGCTAGTTAGTGGAAGAGAGGAATGTCACACTCATGGAGTTTTGAAGTCAAAACAGGGACAACCGGAGAATTGGAAGCATCTAAATGAGGAGTGTTGAACATTCGATGGTCTGAGTTAGAAGTTTGAGTAAGGGATAAGGTGATACTCTATGCCCAGGAGAAATGAACACATTCGAATCTTGAATATGACTTTATTAGTAGGATAAGATTTTCTTGGTTCAGGTCAAACCAACAACTCTGAGCAGAGATTTCAGTTAAGGAAAACACCTGAGCCCATTGTGTGAAAAGCTTGGGAAATGTATTTTATTTTTCTATTTGCTTGTAGTACTGGAGGCTTTATGAGGTTTGTGATATTTAAAACAAATGGTTAGCTCTGACTGTAGAATGACAAACATTCATCTATGAATTTCACAACCTGGTTTCCCAACAATGGTCCCAATAGCTTACATGTATTTTTTTTTTTTTGACTAATCAAATGCAATCTTGAAATCTATATACAGATTGGGGATCAGCAAACTTTTTCTCTAAAGGACCAGATACTAAACATTTTCTGCTCAGGAGACCATACGGTCTCTTTGGCTCTGTCTCATTATAGTGTGAAAGTAGCCATAGACAATATATAAATGAATGAGCATGGCTATGTGCCAATAAAACTTTATTAAACAGGCAGCAGGCTAGAGTTGGCCCCCAAGCTGTGGTTTGCAGATCCCTGTCAGAGATGAGCAACTTAAGAATGGTGAGAAGCTAGTGGGCAGTCTGCAGACCCCAAGGGACACCAGGTCCCTCACAATAGACATAGCCACAAAGGTGTTGTCCATGCTGGGTAACAGTATGAAGACTCTCAGAAAGTGGAAGACACCAGAGAAGTGAGATTAGTATCTCTGGAACCAGGAAGACCTTCTCTGAGACCCTACCAGAGAAATTAAATCATGCCCTGCCTTCCACACAAATGTCTAGAAATCGCTTCTAAAGCTCACTGTCCTCTAGCCTCTCACCTTCTGCCAGAAGGCACACCACCATGGGAAGAAACAAAAAGGATGACCCCCTTGGTCTGGAGTTTCCAAGCAGGAAGAACAGAGAGACTCAGAGAATCCCAGATTGAGAGGGAGGTCCCACCATGCTATTATGCATGAATCCCTCTGTCATAAAGGAGAAGGGCTTCAGTTCCCAAAACAGAAGATTCCCATCATATTCCAACAAGAAGAACCAGAGCCAGAGGCCCATTCATTGCCCTAGAAAATTCCCTTCTCTCTCCAGTAAGCCCTTTGAGACTCTCCACCCAAAGCAGTGGACCTGATTGGGAACTTTCTTTGAGCCATGCTTATTGGAGTTTCAGGAATTATTTGGAGATGAGAAATGCTTTCAAAAGAGAGACAAAATTCTCTTTTCCCCTCCCTTCTGGGAAGCTCCCTGGAGTGATCCCACCCTGCCTCCCCCACTTCTCTGACTTGCTCTATGAGTAGGTGCAGGATCCTAAACTTGAGTCACATCACCAGTGCGGGGCTGCATGGAAGCAGGCCACCCTAAGAGAAGAAAAAGGGCCTTGAGACTCACATTCTAGCTCTTTTCTACTGTCAACCCCAAACTACCGGCAGCAACTCTTGGTGGTACAAATAATCATGTCCACGTTGAACACACAGATGCAGCCACTAAAGCCATGTGAGTTTCAGGGTAAAGGGTCTTCAGAGGAGGCCGCGTCTCAGACTCTCTTTTCCTACCACCTCCTCTTTCCCTCTGCCTGCTGGTTCTTCTCCATCCTCATCACCTCTCTCTCTCCAACTTCCCATCACTTCCTCCCACATTTATTCCCTGTCTTACAGCCCTGACGAGGTCTACTATCAGCTACAAGAGTCTTGTCCTCCTGCACTTCTGAAAGGTATATCGTGAATCAGCTTTCCAATTTCTTCCATGATAACTGGCATAGTCAAGTTTTCTACGTCACTTGGGTCAGCCTTGAGAATTTGTTTGCTAAGATATAATCCTTCTTCTTTAGCTTTGTTGCCATGGAGTGCCTCATAATGTTCTCATATAATAATTTCCATCTTTCCTGTATTTGTGGTTTTATCTCCTTTCTCATTTCTAATCTTATACAATATTGTTATATCTTTTCTTTCATCGAGTTTGTGGGGGCTTTTCCATTTTATTGACTTTTATCAGAGAAGCAGTTTGGGATTTATTTGTACTTGCTATTTGTTTTCTTTTCAATGCTATTGATTTCTTTTTCCTGTTTTCTTATGGTTTATTTAACTGTTCTCTTTTATTCTGTTTTAAAATTCTTATGGTTTATGTAACTGTTCTCTTTTATTCTGTTTTAAAATTGATGTAAAATTCCTTCACTTGAGATTTTTCTCCTTTAACAACAATCATTTAAGGCTATTCATTTTCACCTGAGTGTAGCCTTAGTTGTGTACTAGCAGTTTTAGAATAAAGGATCCTACTTTTATCAGTTTTTAAATGGTTTGCAATCTTAGTTTTGATTCCTCTTTGCTTATTTAAGAATTATTTAAGAATGTGTTTCTTAATTTCCAGCACATAGAAATCTTTTGGCATTTTTAAACTTTCCATGTCTAGTTTTACTGGATTATGAGCAGAAAAATGTGGCCTATAAAATCTCCATCTTAAAATTGTATGAATTTTTCTTATTGTCAAGCACCTGATTGATATTAGAGATATAAAATGTAATTTTTTTATTTGAAATACATATTAAATTGATTTGTTGATTGAATCATTCAATTGCTTATATTTTTTTTGTCTGTGGGGTCTTAATTCTGAAAAGGAATTCTTAAAAATCAACTATGATTGTAGTGTTTTATTAATTTCTCTTTGTATTTCTAAAATATTTGCTTCATATGAGTTGCTACATAGTTTGATACCTATTGATTTGTGACTATCATTAATTCTTCATAGGTTTTGTCTTTTACCATTACAAATTATCTATCTTTATTCTAGTTAGTGCTTTTCGCCTCCATTTCAACTTATCTGATATTAATGTTGTCATACCATCTTTCTTTCTGATATTTTCTTATCCCTTTGTTTCAAACTTTATCATTTCCCTTTAATTTTTTTCTTTTAACTATATTTCTGTAAAATAACATATAGCAATTTTTTAAACCTAATCTTAGTGTTTCTTTAATTTAATAGGTTAATTCAACCTCTTCAGATTTGGTGTAATCATCATATGCTTGTTTTATTCCTTCCATCTCTATTTTTTACAATTTATTATTCATTACTAGGTTTGCTTTTGTGTTTCTCTCATTTTTCAAGTTGGATCATGTTATTATCTCTTTCTTTCTTCCCTTCGTGAATTTGGAAAGTATAATGTTGATTTCTATTCCACTAGTGGTGACTGACCCGTTTCCAGTCATAATTCCAATCATCATCAATACCATATTTCTCTCTTATTATATAAAAACAAGGTGCCAAATAGTTTTCCTTGACAAAATGCCCCATTTCTTCAGTGCACCTTCCCCTCCCCAAGGAGCTAAGGCCTTTTAAATATTTTCACTAATTCCTCTTCCCAGGGTCCCAGTCCCTAAACCACTTTTACTTCTCTAGCCATCTCCCACCCCTAGATTTTGCTAAGATCATCTATCATTTTTCATCTTTCCCTTTTGCAATATGCCTCTTCTTTTTACAGGAATCCTTATTCAGTCCCTCCACCACACATTCCCAGTAATCCTTTCAGTGTCTGGGTGGAGTTGACTATGTGTATTGGACATGTTACCTTTTATCATCACTCTTTCCTTTATTCTTCTTCCTGTGTCTTGCAATTTTTGTTCTGATTCATTTATTACTGGCTTTTTGTTGTTGTTTATTCTTTAGTCGGGTCTCACTCTGTTGCCCAGTTGGAGTGCAGGAGCACTATTGACCATGGCTTACTGCAGCCTCAACTTCCTGGGCTTAGGTGATCCTCCTGCCTCAGGCTCCCGAGTAGTTGTGACTACAGGTGCACACCACCACACCTGGCTAATTTTTTTATTTAATTTTTGTAAAGGCAAGGTCTCGCTATGTTGCCCAGGCTGGTCTCAAACTCCTGGGCGCAAGCAGTCCTCCCGTCTTCCTCACAAAGTGCTGGAATCACAGGCGTGAGCCACTACACCTTGGCCCAGACCTCTTCCTTTAGAATTTTCTTCAAGTAATATATGAGAGAATGGGATGATTCTCTGGCCCTTTGCATGTCCACGAAGTTCCTTCCCTGGAGAGTCAGTGGTATTTGGGGGTGCGAGGTCCCCACGTTGCCACCCTCCCTCCATTGTCTATAGATGTTATGCCTTCATTTTCTGGCTTCTGAGTTCTACATGTAAGACATCTGATACCGAGTGCATCCTTTTTTTCCTTTGTAACTGACCTATTCTTTCTTTCTAGATGACTGTAAGGTGTTCTCTTTATCTTTGGAGTTCAGGAAGTTAACTCTAATGGTGTGTCTTTTCTCATTAATCCTTCCTTTCGGTCTGCAAACTCAAGTCTTTCTTCAGCTCAGCAACTTTTCTCCTAACATTTGTTTGACAGTTGCCTTTCTTTCATCTCTACCTTTTTCTCTCTCTGGAACTCTTACATTCAA